TGTTGTAAAAAGAATTTAATTTTCATAAATATTTGTCAATGCTTTATATTAATCAAAGAGAGTATAACAATGAGCTATGTTAGACTGCATTTATCAATGTTAATTTTTTCCGTGTACTGACTATGAACAGGCGCTTTCAATAATTTTCTGTCACTAGCGAAAGTGGGAATTAAGTCACAGCATCAAACGCTGGAGGGGACTTAATTTCTGATATTATAATCGCTAATATATTATCTAATAGGTATGTTCCTTATTAATCTCTACAGCATAATAAGAATTATTATGTTTGTTTAATATGCGATGGACGAAGCTGGATGGAAACAACGTTTACGCCGCGTGAGCGTAAAAATGAAACTTAATCTAAATGTATTGATGAATTGTAATAAAGAATCAATTATAATGCTAATTTAACCGACTGTATCTGCAGAATACAATCTAATTTTAATATTGAATGTACGTGGTGACTATTTTTTTTGTATGTATTACTAGTATTTACTATTATACATCGAAATATATTAATTATATTAAAGCAATTGATATTATAGAGCATTAGTAATTGTTTTTATTTCAATAATTGAATTATCGCCATAATATTTTTATGATAAAATCCTATATAAAAACTTCTTTATATAAATACATACTCAGTCAAAAATGAGAATCGGATGTAGCGATCGACTGTGTTAACGAACATTGGCCGGCGGTTTCCGGCGATTGCTCTCTATCCAAGAAAGAATTTTTGGGAGCGATACGGTTTGTCCTGGACTCTTCGTTTTTTGTCTTTGACAATGTTTTTTACAGGCAGAGCTTTGGCACCCCCATGGGCTCTCCAATATCACCGGTGATAGCGGACTTAGTGTTGAGGAGATTGGAGACGGTGTCCTTAATGTCTGTGAATTTGGACATTCTATTCTATTATAGATACGTTGACGACATATGCACTGCGTTGCCCCCCTCTCAGATCGACGTGTTATTAGAGAGATTTAATGCATTCCATCCGCGCCTACAGTTTACCGTAGAGAGAGGCGGAAAAACGATCAATTTCTTGGACGTCACTGTGTCTGTCAACAATAATCGCTTTAATTTCGATTGGTACCGTAAACCAACGTTTTCAGGTAGATTTTTAAACTTCCACTCTAATCATCCATTGACGCAGAAAAAAGGCACCATCTTTTCATTAGTCGACAGAGCCTTTTTATTATCTGACGTTAGGTTTCACACAAAAAATTTGACCTCCATCATTGACATTTTACTTCTGAATGACTACCCACTAGACTTTATTTTTGACTCCATCAATCATAGGATCAAAAATTTGATTAGAAATAGACACAGATTATACGATACCGCGACTGACATTGACTTAACTAATAAGTCTACCTCTTGGCTTACGGTGCCTTTCATTCCGCTTCATACGGAGAAACTTAGATCTTTGAATAAAAGCAAAAGTGATATCAGGGTGGCCTTCCGCAGCCCTAACAAAATGGGCAAATACATAAGAGTCCAGAAGGATTCTTGTCCCAGCACATCGAAAAGCAACGTTGTTTATAAAATTTTATGTAATGATTGTGACGCTTCTTACGTTGGACAGACGGGCAGGCAATTAAAAACCAGGATTGCCGAACATCGTAATCATATTAGACATAAAGCTTCTGCCCGCTCTGTCATCACCGATCATAGGTTGAGTCACAATCACGATTTTCAATGGGACAATGTTCTGATATTAGACGAGGAGCCTTCGTATAGAAAGCGTTTGATTTCGGAGATGCTACATATTAAAAAACAGAAGAACAGTCTTAATTTACAGACTGACACCGAGGGTCTTAATAAGGCATATCTGGCGATTATAAATAGTCTGACTTCGACGATTACATCCCTATCATTGTCATGGGTTTTCACACCTGTCATGCATTGCGGCGGTTCTCATTTCCTGTTCGGATGCGTTGGTGAGTGAGCACTTGGCTTCTTATCTGCGGCGTGTTTAGTTTTTAAGTTTTTAAGTTTTTTAGTTTACTTATTTCTTATGAGTTCCCTTCCTTTTCCATTTTTCAGTCAGCACTTGACTATGTTTCTTAACATCGGTTTGATTGCCCCATCGCATATACAACATTAAGCTACGTCGAGATCCATCACAATTGCTGATTTCCGCGCGTTAAAAATGTTGCGTCACTGAATGTTATCGATTTATTATTTTTTTGTTGTTAATCTTTTATGTCTTTTCGAATTATATTCTTTTTACATCTGAGGAGGGCTCAATCCAGCAGCCGAAACTTGTTTGTTTTATATTTTAATATACGCCGTTTTACTTTTTATTTTATGTATCTATGACTATTATCTTTAATTAAATATATTATGCGACGACTCTTTTTCGCCATTTATTTTGTTTATTTTGTTTATACATAAAGAGTCTTTACACCGTTGTTATCAAAAATGAGAAGTTTCATAAATATTTGTTTAATATTTACCTGAGCGTTTGCAGGTATTTGTTGAGAATTTAAGAACGGTCATTAGAGTGTAAAACGGAAATTGCAAAGCTGCAGCATTTAGAAGCATACTCTGACAAAAATAATAATATGATTGGAAACAAGACCGTCTATATAAATATTACAACTTTAAATACAAAGCGCCTTCCCGGTCCGAGTGTTAAGATGTTGAACTACTATCTAATATACATTATTTGTTTCAGATTGATTGTGTGAATCCGATAATTTCATCGGCTCTCAATTTATTTCTGAAATATTAATTCAATTTAATTGAATGTATACTTTGTATTTAAAGTTGTAATAAAAATAATAATTTTCATGAATGTGTGTGTGTTTATTGGACGTTTTATATGAACGCTCAGTTCAAGTGCTATGTCTGCTGAACGCAGACATTTTATCAAAATAAAGATACAAAATTGTTCATTGAGAAGCCTCATCATAGCGCGCCTTTTATCCTTATTTAATGTGGTTTTCTAAATGTGAAAAATTGAATTTTATTGTGTACTTTTAATGGTAATGTGCACTGCTTGAAAGTTGAATATATAGAAGAATGCTAAACAGACAAAACGCTGTGTTATGGTTGAGGAAAATGTTTTTTGGGCATCTTTAAGAGCCGTTTGTGTAAAAGACTTACAAAATGTTTACTGAGATTCAATAATTATCCACATTGAAACAACGTTTGTTGAACGAAAGATAAATGCTTGTGTTATGATATTGAGAACAGCGTTTGCTAAATGTTTCAAAAGTCTGACAAAGAACTTTCTGCACAAAGGTGCAACAGCGTCCTTTATAAAGAGCATTTTTTTAAAAGTGTTGCTTTAGCATTACAAAACTTTCATGAAACGGTACATACTGTATTTTATATTTTAATAGTGTTTAAAATCCAATGATATTTTATAAGCATTTTTATAAAATTTGAAAACGTTTAAACTTCTAAAAAATTGTCATCGAACGATTGTCAACGTTTCATAAAGTTTCGTATTTTCGCTAGGATATAGACATATTATTTCGAAGGAGTAAAACTCCGTTTGTCAACAAAATTGATTGCCTACAGTATCGTTTGCCTACATTACATTTGCTATCATTTGTTTGCGCACAAACATTCTTGCCTACATCTCGGATGTTTATATGTACCATTTTCTGCTTTAAAAACCCTAATTCTCTGTTGTGCAAAAACACAAATTATTTTCTTATATATTATAGTTTATGTGGTTGTAAGCCATAATACATATGTATGTGCAAACAATAAATCTGTAAGCAATAATACATATGTATGTGCAAACAATTTTTACTTTTTAATTTTTTTTTTTGTATACAAAAGCGGAGACGCTAAGCAAATGCGTTCCAGCGTAAAATTTGAAAGAGCGCAAAATTTTAATAGGCAGCGCTACTTTTAAAAATATAAAGCTTTACTTATTTAAAATGAATTAGCTAAAAGTAGTTTTCTAGAAATCTTTTCAAATGTAACAATAGCGTTACGGATTTTACTAATTGTGCCAATGTCTGTGACAACTGTAGAAACATTATTTAAAATAAAAAAAAAAGAAGTTTTTGAGAGATATACAATGACGCTGACGCGGTCATGCGATTTAACTACGATATTAATTGAAAAAGAATTAGCAAACAGTCTTGGATACGTAATTGTTTCTGATAACGTAACAAAAAAGAAGCGTAATCAGAACATTTTCTAAAACCAGAAAATATAATAGTATGTTGCATTAAGCGCCAAATATATTATTACAAAAAAAAATATGAAATTTATTGCATTTATATTCCTGTGTTATGCAAATTCGTAGAAATTTCTTTTAGTTGCTAGTTTGTTGTCGTTGGTGGGGATTGGTACTTCAAAGATTTAACAATCTTTGTAATGGAATGCAAACGCAAATTTCAGCGTTAAAAACAGTCTTAATGTCCCAGCACAAAAGTGCTTATAGACAATAATGTGAAGTAAGTGTGATTAGTTTTGTTTATTAGTGTGAAATTTTTATTTATAGGTATACAAAAATGCTTGTAGATAATCGATCTGTAGTAATAATACTATGCGTGCAATAATGAAGTTTATGCGTAATAATGTCACGTGTGCATATGAGCTTTTTCTCTTAATTTTATACTTGTGTGCAATAATACATGTAGGCAATCGAATTGTAGGCAATAATTATTATGCAGAAAGGGATTGTGGGCAAATGTAGATAAACGCGTCACTAGACCAAACTTTTTCGAGCAGCATCATGTTCTTTTTGATTAAAAATGGTTTATTTATATTGAGTACTCTTATTTTCATATGTTTTTTTAGAATAGGAATACCTATCATTTAGGTTGAGACAGAAGATTACACATGTGTAGAGGAAAGGCCCCTAATATGAGATATTGAATCTATTTTGGATTATTGCTAGAAGTCTATGGGCAGAATTTAAAAAAATAATAGGTCATTTTGAAGAGAATTTTAAGCTTTAAGATAATGTTATATAAAATTTAATTCAAGTTTAATTTTTTTTTTAATTAAAGAAATGTAAAAAGTGAACAAATCACAAAGTCAAAAAATTGTGCTTTTATGAGATGCCCCGAAAAATCAAGAGTAAAACGCAAAGTATATCAGTATTGCAATTAAAAAACTTTATCTCATATTTTTTAAAATGCCAACAAATACAACCAGCGTGCGTGAAGTCTGAAAATGAGATGCGATAGATTATACCCCCTGATCGTCGTCTACAGTTAGTTGGAATCAAGCGTCGCAGAAATAAGCACTCGATGTTTATTCCGGTTATCCATTTTTATTATTGTAGAATAATAAAATTTTACTCTTTAGCAACGATTTTCACTACAGGAGCATGGGTTATTTCATATTCGAAATATCCTGGGTACCTCATATTACGATTTCCACGCCTTATGGTTTTACGATCATCAAATCTAATTTCTGTAATTAAGCAAGTTAACATATCACGTATTTTTCTATTAGTATGATTTTATCTCTATCGCTACATGAAGAATTAATTGCCAAATATTTATTTATTAAATAATAAACAAGATGTAAAAGCTCATTAAAACTTGAAGACATTCAAATTCTAAAACCTTTTCTTGCAACGACTACAGGCATAACCTAATAATGAATTTTCCACTAAATAGTTTTCAATACAAGAACATTAAATTTATGATGGAACCAATAGCATTTATTAGTTTTGCGGAAACGCCGCTATTTCATCTTAAACGCTTATCTCATGATAGGGAACTTTTTTCTATGTGTTACTATTATTTTTTAATATAAATATACATACTTAGGTTATTATTACTTTGATAATTTAGAATAAGTTTAAAAATGTTAGCATCTGGATTTTATTTTTATTTAATTAAAAAAGACAACCATTTTGTTTTTATTAGCTAAAAGAAATGAAAAATAATTATCACTTTTTAAAAAGAAAAAATAGGAATTTTATTGCTTAAAGGTAACTATAGACAATTAGTATTTCATCCAAACATATTTTTTGTTTATAATTGGTGCTAATTAAATATTTCATATTTCTTTTCAAATTATTATTAATATGATAGTTCAGAAAGTTGATTTGGAATAGATTTGAAATATACAGTTAGTCTTTTTTTAAAGAGTACACATACAAAGGCGTATATTTG